AAAAAAAAAAAAAATTGTCGAACTGAGGTTGATGTAGTATTTTCCGTGGAAGTGCTATGGATTATTGGACTTTGGAATGTCCTTGACTCAATGGCTTTGGCCTTGTGTCGTTTTGATATGTATATTGTAAGATATGAATTTTTGAAAATCGTGTTGCAGCTCATTTTTGCTAAAATTACTATAATTCGTGTATTGCTCCAAAAATTCTGATTTTTGGATATGTTGTTATACTGCTGATATATTATCTGTAGTCAAAATTTGAGATTTTTATATGGCCTGTAGCCTCGTCAAAACTCAAAAACTGTTTCTAGGCTTTTTTTTTTATAAATTTATATAAAATCGAGTTCTTGTCCAAAATGGCTATTTTTGGATATGTTGATGTTCTCCATGATATCTTGCTTATGTAAAATTTTTAAAGTTAAATTCGGACTGTAGCTATTTTAAATTATTTAATTCGATTTCTGGTCAGATTTTGCTTAAATTATTTAAAATGGTTAGGAGTGTGTTTAAGAGTTTTCCTTTGGTGAAAATGTGTGTTTTTTTGAGTCTTTTATATGCTGTAAAAATTTGAATTGAAAAGTCCAAGCCTAACTCCTTATGGTCCCATTCTTAAAATTTTTAACTAGACATTTTTAACCGATTTTGGGCACCAGTTGGCCTTGTTGGCAAAACATTGACCCGTTGACCCCGTTGTCGTGTCAAATCTTCGTTGCCTGCTTTTATATGATTTATTAGTTGGTTGGTCAAGTCTAGAAGTCGTCCTAATGTTCCAACTCCACAACTTCCACGAGTTTCTTAGTCGATGTGATTCGACTAAGTATAATTCTCGTTATCTTTGTAAGAGTCGAGATAGTTGCTTATGGGACTGTCTTGAATTATGTAGGTGTCTGACGAGCAATGTCTCAACCACCTACGACTTTCCGGCTATTTGCTTTACCATTCGACACCAGGTGGGTTTCATTTGAAAATTTTCTATGCTGTAAATGTTAATAAATTATTTATTAGTGGTATGATCAAAGTATGCATGTGGATCATGTAGCCTTCAGTGTGAGCTGTATCGGCCACCGAACGGTAATCCCCGTAATTATAGAACGGACACAGTTGGGGTAATCTCCTCTATGAGCCTGTGAGACCAGGTCGGTGCTCGGTCGAGGCATGAGACCAGGGCGGTGCTCGGTCGGTTCCCCGTTGTGAGTCAGGGCGGTGCTCGGCCGATGGGGGAAACTCCTACTGGCTGGACACTCATTGTAAGACCAAAAGGCCGAGGGCCGTGGCTTTCGGTATATAGTCGGCAGTAGTCTATTGATATAGGTGTGCACATCAGTCTATTATTGGTATTATTGATTATTGATGGGAGAATGGGATAGATTATTGCTTCGTATACATGCTGAGACCATACCTTTCGATTACTGATTACTGTTTATTATTGTCATTAACATTTACTGCATAGTGGTGAGCACTACTGTTCCTCTTGTGCTCATCCCCACATGCTCTTCATGGATGCAGGTTAGCATGGCGGGCACGGTGGAGAGAAGCGAGTGGTGGTCACAAAAATTGTTATTGCTTCTGCTTGAAATTGAATTATTGTTATTATTGTCTTATTGATTACTGGACTATTGATAGGGAATGTATTCCCTAGGTATGTATGAGTATTGAATAATTGGATTGGATATCGATTATTGAATTGAACGATTGTTTGATTATTGATGAATGAGTACTGAGGATTGAGTATTGATGATTGATGAATATTGATTAATAATTTGAAAATGAGTAGCGCCTCAAGTGTTTTGAAATAAATTTTGAAAAATTTATTCTGATTTTCGGAAAATAAAAGTGGGGCGTTACAGTTTGGTATCAGAGCCAGTCTGTGTTTTTGAAGACTGGTTAATGTGAATTATGTGATTATGTGCTTTGACCCTAAAAAATGACCACTCGCTCTCGTCGTGCCGCGCCAGCTCAGGTATGCGTACCTAATTGATTTATAGATGATTGTGCAATAATTGATTATTGATGTGAAATCGGGGCTAAGGAATTTATCCTCCTGCTTTTAAGCATTCTTGAACTCTAGATGAGTGGCGAACTTAGTTGTATGAACTTGAACTCTAGCGGTATAGAGTTAAATTCCGATTTAAGAAATTGTTTGGTTGGAAATTCGATATAATGATATCGAGTTATATTCAGTTTATAGCAGTGCTTTTGCTATAAGACTTGTTAGTCTTCAAGAGAGGACCATTCGCAATGCCATCTCGAAAGGAGAAGGCTTAAAAGTAGGGAGCAGAGGACCGAAGGAGTTCTAGATACTTGGGTGTTCGGGAGTCTGTCATCGTTGTCGATAGGACCATTATTTGGGTGTTCAGTAAAAGGAGAGAACTCTGTCCTCTATTCGCACGTCTGAGCAGGTTCCAGAAAACCAGGCCTTTTCTTCCGGCGATCCTCCATAGCCGCCACGCGGATGAGCAACTGATTCCGGCGAACTTCCATGCCATACCTGTCGCAAAAACCCCGCTCGTCACCTCCATTGTTGTGCATGTGCGCAAGCTCGGCGAGTTCCAGGCCCCATTCGCTACCCTCGTCCATACCTACAGCCCGTCGACACTCCCCGGTCCACGTCCGTGCCCTGTTGTTCGTGAGTTTCCGGCTGCTACCTCGCTGCAAACAACCCCGTGAAGCCGTCGTCTGCCATTGATAGCGTCACCACTACCAGCTCGCGTGACTTTGTACCTGCTTTCCGTGCTTACCGGTCACTATCGAAAACCGTTGATCATCCCTCACGACCCGCTGTTCGTGCTCCGAGAACCAACAGGACTCTACAGCAGCGAACCACCGATGAAGCACGTTGCTGTTGTTTCTTTTCAGTGGACACCGGCCGTTTGTCGGGCCCGTGCGTCGAGCAGACCTAACCCTTTCTCCCGGAGATCAGCGACTGTATTTGTAACGCCCGTTCGTTTATGAATAAATTGGATTTTTATTGTTATTATTATTATTATTTATTATTATAGTTGCCATTAATATTAAATATTAATTGTTAATTGTCCAATTGCCTAAATAAATTTATGTGCTAATTGTGTATTTAAAATAAATATTAATTGTGGAGATTTTATATAATTATTAAATACTATTTTAAATTATTTAATTTAATTCAACCGTGGAACCGAGCTGCCGGTCGAGCCTCTTAGCTGAAGTCTCGCCCGCGCCCGAGGCCCGAAGGCCGCGCCCAGCCGGACCACCCGCCCCTTCCCTCTTCCTTTCCTTGTATTGTTTTTGGTAAGTAGCTTGATTGTGGGTCTTTCCTTTTCCCTTTGATGTTGATTTTGGCAAGTGCATCATTTTGGGATCCTACCCATATCAAAGAGCCCTATTTATGGGAGAGATTTCTCCCTCTCCTCGTCTATTTCTTTCCCTCCAGCCGCTCTCTCATCTCTCTCGTTTCTCTCACCTCTCTCGTTCCTTTCATCTCTCTCGCTCCCCCTCTCTTTTCCCCGATCGCACGCCACCGTCGACGCCTCCATTGCCGCCGTGCAATCGCCTTCCACCGTTCGTCACCCCCGCGTGCACCATCGCCGTCCCGGGCCAGCACCATCGCCATCATCCGTTCGTGAGTCGCGGATAGTGCACCCCTTGGCGTCCAGCGTCCCTCGCGAGGCCAGCAAGCACGCCCAGCGTCCCGTCCGCACACCCCGTGGCAGCCCAGTGCTCATCAGACGCCCGCACAAGCCTCCCAGCGGCCAACAGTCGTGATGAAAAGTAGATCGTGTGTTCACCTATACGTGGGTGCGAATAAACGACGCACTGCGGCCTTCGTTTATCCCCGATAGATGTATCTAGCAGACGCACTGCGGCCTTCTCCTAGACACCGTGACTTCAAGACGCACTATTGGCCTTCTCTCCGACACTGCATGTAAAGACGCACTAATGGCCTTCTTTATCACACGTTAAGAACATAAGTTCCCCCTCAAGATTGGCTCACCAATTCAATACTTCATTCAAGACATCTCAATATGATGAGGTACATGGGGTATTTATAGGTACCAACTATCTCTAATGCTAATCTTACTAGGAAACTATTAAAACAATTAAATATTAAATCCTAAGGCTAGTAAATATCCTACTACCTTAAATTCCTAAATCTACTAGATCTCCTAATATCTTTGACTTGCTATCCAATTCCTTGCCTTGCACTCCAAACCATTCTAGAATACTCCAAGTCTTGCGCCCCAACTTCATTCGGCCGCCTCACTTCTCGCGCGCTATGCGCGCGCCGCCCGCGCCCTGCGCCTACGCCTGCCGCGCATAGGCATGCCGCCCGTCCGTGTGCCACGTCTCGCGCGTCGCTGCCATGCTCGCCTAGTCCTTTGGTGACTAGGTCTCTCGTGCCTGCTGCGCCACTCCTATTCCTTGTAGGATTATGCTTTGAGCCCATATCCGCTATTCTTATTCCTACTAGGAATATGATCCCGGTTTCGTTTCCTGATCTTCCGAGGATTACTCCCGTCACCGATCTCCCACGCGCATTCCGGCACTTAACTGCTATTCCTATTCCTGCGAGGATTAGTATTCGCGCCTTGCCTATTCCTACGAGGATTAGGCATGCCGCCTTATTCTTGAGTTGTGCCTCGCGCGCGTTGCCGTGCGCCCCGTACTCGTCGTCCAGCACTCCTATGCCTACGCGGTATAGGCCATCGCCCGCGTCGCACTTGTGCGCCCATGCGCATGCCAACGCATTCGCCCAACTACCGCCGAACTCCTCATGCGCGTGCGTGCAGTCGACCATTACTCCTACTCCTCCGAGGCATAGGCCTCGTCCGCTTCCCTTGCACGCGTCACTCCTCGCGTATCCCTGCAGGATGCCGACTTCTTCGCGGATTAGGACGCCCGCGCTTCCCGTGCACTCGCGCGCTATCTCGCGCTCGTCGCCAATTCCGACCATCCCGCGTGCGTCCCAGCCACCTGCGCCAGTCCCGTGCACGCCAGCAGCTCCCATCTCGCCCGTGTGCCGATTGTCGATCCCCGTGGGCTGCTCGTCTGGCGCTCGCGTATCATCTTGTTCCGTCCATCCTCGCGCATCACAGGCCGATGCGCGCCACTCGCTCATTATCCGGTCACCGTCGACCTTCTTGTCACAGGGGTACGGAACCCACTTCCGTATCATTCCCCTCCTCTTCGAGACTTTCCTTGTCCTCAAGGATCTATCCACGACCATCCACCCATCGGGCACTCTTTCTTCGATCATGCGCACATCCCACTCACGATCCTCGTCGACTTCGATCGCCTCTTCATCCTCGGTTACCTCCAATTCTTTGACCTCGACTTCGATGTGTTGTGCGCGCCGTTCCCGTGCGCATGTTTTGCACCTAACACCCGATCCCACCATCGCGTACTCGGCGTCCATGTCCTTTGGCTCTTCGCACCGTTCTTCGACCAACACGTGAGGGTTGCTTGAGGACCTTACGTCGGTCGCGACCCTCTCCTCCTTTCGCTTGGCCTCGGCTTGTTGCTTTTCCTCCATGATTTTGAGTTGTCGTTCATACTCCTCCTTTTGCTCGTACATCTCCTCCAAATAATTTTGCTCCTATGGGGTTAATTCCCTCTCCAATCCTTCCAAATATTCAAGATCCTCTTGATCCCACTCTTCTAATGGCTCAAACATCATGATTTTTTTTTTTTTTTAGACTCTAAATATTTAAAAATTCGAATAAAATAGGGGAAAAATTCGAAAAATCGAACCCCCAACAAGACTCAAAAAATCGAAACAAAGAGAAATTCGGCCCCTCAACAAAAGGTAATAGCCGAAAAAAATAACAAAGGACTAACAAGATGACACTTTTTTTTTTTTATTTAATGAAAAATCGAATAAAAATTCGAAATTTCGACTCAAAAAAAGAAGAGAAATTCGGTCCCTCACCAAAAGACAAACCGAAAAAATAAAAAGATAAGATAGATAACCACATGATCAGCCCCTCTCAATGAAAGCACCAATGATGAAAAGTAGATCGTGTGTTCACCTATACGTGGGTGCGAATAAACGACGCACTGCGGCCTTCGTTTATCCCCGATAGATGTATCTGGCAAACGCACTGCGGCCTTCTCCTAGACACCGTGACTTCAAGACGCACTATTGGCCTTCTCTCCGACACTGCATGTAAAGACGCACTAATGGCCTTCTTTATCACACGTTAAGAACATAAGTTCCCTCTCAAGATTGGCTCACCAATTCAATACTTCATTCAAGACATCTCAATATGATGAGGTACATGGGGTATTTATAGGTACCAACTATCTCTAATGCTAATCTTACTAGGAAACTATTAAAACAATTAAATATTAAATCCTAAGGCTTGTAAATATCCTACTACCTTAAATTCCTAAATCTACTAGATCTCCTAATATCTTTGACTTGCTATCCAATTCCTTGCCTTGCACTCCAAACCATTCTAGAATACTCCAAGTCTTGCGCCCCAACTTCATTCGGCCGCCTCACTTCTCGCGCGCTATGCGCGCGCCGCCCGCGTGATACGGAAGTGGGTTCCGTACCCCTGTGACAAGAAGGTCGACGGTGACCGGCTAATGAGCGAGTGGCGCGCATCGGCCTGTGATGCGCGAGGATGGACGGAACAAGATGATACGCGAGCGCCAGGCGAGCAGCCCACGGGGATCGACAATCGGCACACGGGCGAGACGGGAGCTGCTGGCGTGCACGGGACTGGCACAGGTGACTGGGACGCGCGCGGGATGGTCGGAAGTGGCGACGAGCGCGAGATAGCGCGCGAGTGCACGGGAAGCGCGGGCGTCCTAATCCGCGAAGGAGTCGGCGTCCTGCAGGGATGCGCGAGGAGTGACGCGTGCAAGGGAAGCAGACGAGGCCTATGCCTCGGAGGAGTAGGAGTAATGGTCGACTGCACGCACGCGCATGAGGAGTTCGGCGGCAGTTGGGCGAACGCGTTGGCGTGCGCATGGGCGCACGAGTGCGACGCGGGCGATGGCCTTGATACGGAAGTGGCATTGGCGTCCGGCGAGTCTAGTGAGGAGCGAAAGGGCAAAAGGTGCGCATCGGCACTTGATGCGCACGAGTGGGCGAACAGGCCGCGCACGCGGGTTTGGCGGGGAAAACGCGGGCGTAAGCTGGGCAGGTGCACGGGTGCACGCGGAGACGCCGTAGGCGATATGGGCGCGGGCGACGGATGGGACGCGCGGGGCAGGAGCAGGGCGCGTGCAAAGGCGCGCGAGTTGGGCGGAAGCGCGGACGTCTTAGTCCGCAGGGGCATAGGACAGGCGTGCACGGACGCGCGCGAGAAGGACGGCAAGAGCTGGGCATGCGCGGTGGCACGCGAGTGGGATGACGCGGATGGTGCCCTAGGCGTGGAAGGATTAGGCGACGCGGGAGCGCTAGGCATGCACGCGCAAGGTGGAGTCGGCAGACGGGGGGGCGCGCGCGAAGGACGACGCGTGGGGAGTAAGCGCGCGGGTTGCCGCGCGCAACGAGGAGTAGGAAAGGCGAGGCGGCGCGCGCAAGCTGGTGGGACGCGCGCGACGCGTAAGAGGCGGCCGAGAAGTTGGGGCGAGCGTAGGGTTTTAGTTTAGGGAGTTTCTAGATTTGCTTGGTGTGCAAGCCAAGCATTAGTATTTTGGTAGCTTTAGGATT